CTTTCAGTCTGTTGGTAACTCATCTGTCCTCCAAGAACTCTCACAGAAACCCAGTAACAGGTCTAAATTTTTCAAACTGTTATGTAACACAAAATGTTCATTAAATCAATTTTAAGATAACTAACCTATATAACCTGTTCTTTCCTTATCTACACTGAATTTCTAGGCCTAGGATTAGCTGTGCATGTCACATACTTACCAATGACCTTTTTGGTAAACGTGATAAAAAGCCATTGTATGTTTTTGCTTTCTCTGCACCTGCTATGAGCAGGCTTTTTCTTTCCTGCAGTACCTTGCTTAGGTGCCAACTAATAGAGTTATATTATATTAAATCTTCATTTCTCTTGCTAGTTGCATCTCACTGAGTGGTTTGGCACTTCTGACTTGCCTCTACATGCATGTGTTACTCTATCATGCTTAGTAAATAGAGAAAATTTTCTCATTATGTCTAAAGTGAAAGAAAAGATGACAATTTAGCCAAGCTGGTTTTTTACACTTTCTTTTCTTTACATTGGTGAAGCTCGTACTATGGTGTTTAGTAGTGTTCTGTTGAAGCACCCACACATTTTTAACTTGTACCTTAAACATTTTTTAATATAAATTCTCTGAATTCGACATCTACCTCCCTGAGGCTTTTTCCTGGGCAGTCTGTCAATGTAACTTCTTTCCCAAGAAGTGCTGTGGTAACAAAAATCTCCCATTACTATCAAGTCCAGAGGCTTTGGATACATACCAAGAACCACCATGTTATTTTCTGCTTTCCTGAATACCAACAGGTATTTAACAGGTCCAACTAATTTTATTGTTGATATCTCAAAGCAACCATCATATTCTTGAAATACAAGCCAACATTTCCTCTCTTAGTCCCTTCTTAACTGACTATAACTCTTATACCCTCTACATGATTGGACTAGTGTAAAATACATAAATTCTCTACAATGACAATTTTGTCATAATCTTCAATTAATTCTTGTCCATTCCTCATTAAATTTTTCTGTTAACTCTTCTCTGTTCCTGTTTCTTCTACCATTAGTATACAGCTAAATATACCTGGCACACTGACTTACCACTCTGTAGTCATTTATTTAATCCTGTTTCAAATAGTCCTATCTTTCTCCAGAGTTAGGCCAATGTCCAATTTGCATTATTTAAGGCAAAGATTTTTGTCCCTACCACATGGTTCTTAAATTAATGTTCTCTTCTCTCAGAATAGAAGCCATGTAGTTATGCTTAGAGTCTATCTGATTGATGTTTGCCTTGGACATGAGAGTAGAGGCAATGATATCTCTGGAAACTTCAACCTCTTTATCCATTGCCACAGAAACTTGTAAGCAGTTTTGATTTTCTTAGTATCATTCGAGCTATCACGTGCTAGTGATCAGTAGAATCCTTTGCATCTTGGCAAATCTGGACCTTTGTGAAGAAACACAGCAGCTGATCTAAGTGCCAGGTGCTGCAGATGTCTCTACATCACCTAGAAGGTCACTACCCTGCACCTATTTTTATTTCCCCTTCGTAGTAGAGGTTTTGTACTCCTTGGGGTAGTGGGGTTTTTTGCCTGTTATCATTGAGATTTTTACTTGCTACTTGGACAGCTCTCCTGCTTTTGATTTCAGTGGTAAGCTATTCAGATGCTGAATGGTACATGCCCTCAGAGAGAACCATCTACCTCTCTGGAGTTGCAAAGTTGGCTCCCCCAGTACCAGTACTATTACCAAACTGAAAGCTCTGCTTTAACTTTTTTGTCTCCAAATGCATACTGGATATGAAGTACTCATGACCATACTCAGCCAGTTTTGATTCCCTCCTTTCCTTGCTCCTCTAATTGCTTCTTAGGAGACTCACCTGGAGCCGTTCCACATTTCACCAGTAGGAAAATACAGGCCACATTTCCTGTAAATCCATTCAAGGATTTAATCATAAGATGTCATCGTTTTCTAATTTTAAGTATAGCTATTGAATTACCAGTTTATGATATATTTCTTCTCAAACATTTTTCAGAGAATGAAATACTATGTAAGAAGCTCTTAATGCCTGGTATATTAAGAACATTTGTGCTTGAGTTTAATATGTTTTACTAGCAGTCCATTAAAAATCTGAAACATAACATGAAGTCCAGGACTGAGAAAATAAAAATAAAATAAAGGATTCCATATCAAGCTACATTTGCTCTTCAGTGTTATTAGAAATCTTATTATTTGCTAAAAAGTTATTAGACAAAAAAGCGAACTTTCCCATACATAGTGCTCAATAATCTAGATTCTTTCAGTTCAACACTAAGAAGTCTTTTACTTGTACACTCTGAACATTAAATAAATTCTTCTTAGTCTCTATTGGGTAACAATTTACACAAATAGAATCATAGAATCCTAGAATGGTTTGGGTTGGAAGGGACCTTTAAAAGTCATGTAGTTCCAACCCCCCTGCCATAAGGAGAGACACCTTCCACAAAACAAGTTCTCAAAGCCCTGTCCAGCCTGGCCTTGAATGTTTCCGGGGATGGGACATCTACCATCTCTCTGGGCAACATGTTCTGGTGTTTCACACACTCACTGTAAAAAGTTTCTTCTTTATATATAGTCTGAATCTACCCTCTTTAGTCAAAAACCATGGCTCCTTGTCCTGTTTCAACGGGCCCCACTAAAATGTCTCTCCTCATCTTTCTTATAAGACCCCTTTAAGTGTTAAAAAAGGTCACAATAAGGTCTCCCCGGAGCCTTCTCTTCTCCAGGCTGAACAACCCCAACTCTCTCAGCCTGTCCCCATAGCAGAGGTGCTCCAGCCCTCTGAGCATCTTCGTGGTCCATGTCGTTCCTATGCTGAGGGCTCCAGAGCTCGATGCAAACATATTCAAATAAGACTAATAAAATTAATATATCTATATATAAATTGATGAAGCATTTCAAATTTATATGGCCTGATACCATACTACTTAGTTTTCATTCTTAAGCATAGAATAGATCTTTACATTTGGTTGTGTTATGCTTAGCAGAGAGTCAGAAAGGGGAAGAGAGAAGGTGAATAAGTTCTGAGATGGAATGTAGGTTCTCAGGACTACAACACTGAGAAGATAAAGCTAAGTAAAATGCATAGGGATCCAGACTATGCCAACATCTGTAAGTAACTAGGCAGGGGCTATGTAAGGCACCTGAGAGATTTCTTGACAGTAACCTATAGCAGCTTAAATAGAAGAAACACACACCAAAGAAAGCTGATTTGCTGTAGAAATAAACCCCTAAAAGTAACCCTTTCACTGGGAGCAAAAACCTATTCAAAAAATCTCCTAGGTTGTATTATCAGTAATAAAACACCTGTGTATTGTTTTGTAGCAGTTAACACAAGCTAAAATCTTAGGTAAAATCTATTATTAAATATATAAATATCACTATGATAAGGTTCTACTTGATTGGTTACTTTAGCCTGCTAATGGTGAGAAATAAAGACTTCTCATTTTCTGCTAGATAACCCTATGACTTGGTTAATAAAAATAGACTTGAAATATAACATGTTTGATACAATGAATTTAATACATTTGATACTATAACAGTTCCCTTTGCTGCCTAAACTGTGTTTGACTGAACCTGGAAAAGGCATAAAGGAATGAAAAGTGTAAAATATACATGTGAAGCTGTGTATAGCCAGCTCTATAACAGAAAGAAATGTCTTTATTGCAGTCTTCATGTACAGCAAAATTGATTAAAGAAAAGAAGTTTGATTTCTTGATGAAGAACAAAATCAGATTATTGTTCTAAACTAGCCAAAGACCATTAAGGAGCTGGCAGAAAAAAAAAAAAAATGTTGGTTTGGAGGAAGCTGCACACCTAATACAAAAAAACAGTTGGGACTCAGAGTCCCCTCTGGGAAAAGACAAAGCAAAGAAAAGAGCAGATCTCCTGCCAACATAGAGATGAAGAACCAAATGCCACATTCGAATGCCAAGAAAAATCATGCATGCAGTAGAAGCCGCAAAGTGGCTGATGACAAGAGTTGAGAGGTATTTTCTGATCTTAAAAGAAAAAAAAAAGCAGAAAAAGAAAAGCAGTGGTCAGTCGTAGGAAGGGGCAGAATAGTACTGAGACATCACTAAGTTATGCAAATTTGCATATGTATACTATTGCTTTTTGTTTGCTCTTTTAACACTAACTGGATAGTGAGAAGAGAATCTAAGAAAAAATAGCTGTGTCAACTCTAATTGCTAAGACACATTTTTATTCTGTACAGATATAATGCATCATAAAAACCCCGATGGTTGTTAAAAATATGGAGTTTTAAAAATTCTAAGCAATAGGGTACATAGTCTCCTGCCCAGTCATAAACCCAAGTAATTTCATGCAATTGCTAGCAGGGATGTGCCAGTAGAGGTGAGTTAACATAGCTTTGCCTCAAGACCAAATTATTCAGACATACAAGCCAGTTTTCTTTCCATGAGTTAGGAAGACTTAGTAAAATGTTTTCATAATTCTTATCAGCACAGTAGTTTTATGCTGACACACCAACAGGCTAGTCATGACTTAGAGTAAGAATTTTGGAAAGTTTGCAAATTTTCCCATCACTGCTAACATCAGTCACTGGCTGTCAGCAACATTTTCAGCCCTGTGCCAAATATTTGCCTGAAGCAGTATTAGATAATACAATGCTTTAAAAAGTGTCAGCAGCTATTGGATCATATATACTCAGGGTCCCACCATTCCAAACAAAAACTCAGCTGAAAGATTGGAAAATATCCCCCTAGCAGAAAGACTTCAGTGTGAAGACATTAATGGAATATTTTTTCTGGTAACATTTCAAAACAACATTAACGACTCCAATATGCTATTTAGAGTAACAGCTCCAGGATACTGGGCCTAATGCATCTCTAACAGTAAACAACATTGATTCTGTTCATGGTTATTCAAATATCTACAAATGATTTCAACACAGTGGGTGACTTAGCAATCTCTTAGCCACAGTTTTCCTATAGACAGTTAAGTTAAAATTAAACAATAGTTGTTTTTCCTTACTTGTAGTGTGATCATTTATCTCCCCCAGTCCAGTATTAATTCCAGCATCTATTGAACTCATGATTTTATCAATCTACAAAAGAGAACAGAGAAAACAATTGATGGGCTTTTGTTATTTTATTTATTTTAGTTTTTCATACATAAGTTTCCGGCATTATTACTCTCATGAGGAAAATAACAAACAAGATTACAAAATGCAAAAATCAAAAAAGGTAGAATACAAATACTGCAAAATAAAAGTGGAGAAATTAGTTGTCTAACAAAAGCTATAGCTTGAGACTAGTATTTCTTTTCCTGCAGTAGAGTTTCTTTCACACTGGTGACTTTGCTCATCTAGGCATCCCTCATTCCTTGAAACTACTTGGTTGTATTTCAGTATATAAATACAAAAATGAAAAATGTATATATTAAAGTATACAATGGGATGGATTTTAATTTTATAGGCTCATTTCATTTTATAACTGTGAACCACTAGAGGTCTATTTAAGCAATAATATTAGTGCACAAGAACATTGTTTTGTGTGTTATAAAGTACTAAAGCAATTGTTCAATTAAGATTGCCAGAGAATTTCCTAGCTCTCTTTTCTTTTCCCCCATCTGCCACAAGGCCACTGAATAGGTATGAAACATAGCTGTATCCCCACGTACTGCAGAATGACATTGTTTGTGAAACAGCACTACATTGATCCCAAAACTCATTTGCACATTTTGAAATGATGCTGAACCTGCTGTCAAAACTATTATACCTGTTTTATTTTCTCTAACAGGACAAAACAAAAAAAAACCAAATCAAAAGGCTGGGCTGTCTAAGACGACAGGTTCTGGTACAGAGAACCAGGTTTTATTGTTCCCTTTCTAAAAGCTATGTTTTAGTCACTGGTGACAGGAGAAAATCTGAGAATTAAGTCAGAATATGCAGATTGAGAATTAATACTTTTTTTTTTTCTTTAAACTACATTTTTTTACTTTCAAGAAACATCAGACTTTGATGTCCCTCCATAAAAGGCAAAATTGGACCTGGCTTGTTTCAGGTTTTTGTAACAATGTATCTAAGTTATTAAGATCAAACCCAAATCCTAAGCACTTTTCCACTAAGCAAGTATCCCCCTTAACAACAAATACACTATCAATTCAGAGTTAGACGAGCTAGAAATGTTTTTCTTGGGGGGGCGGGGGGGTGGGGGAAGAGTCACAGAAACAAGCTCCGGGTTCTTTATGAAATAAAATGGCACTCTGGAGACGTATACATTTCCCTATAGCAGTCATTTTAAAGAGAAATGTTTGCTTCTCTGCAATAGCAGTGAAGATCTAAACATTTCCCACCTTTAATTTACCTCAGTAAGATGGGAACTTCTAGTCTATAAAGAATCTTTCACATTCTTGAAATGTAGCACAGGAATGGGGGGAAAACGAAGAAAAAATATTTTCAAGAAGTATTTAATATCTAGTTCTAAAACCAAGATAAAGTCTCTTTTATGAGCAAGCATGTGTACTACAAACTCAGTGTAGACATTTCTCTTAATTGTCCAGAAATAACTGTAGCTATAAGTCTGTTCCCACATCACGAAAGTCAGGTATATGCCAAGCATTCTCTACACAGGCTACATACTGGCTAGAGGATATGTTAGATCTAGATTCTACAAGAACTCCCTAATCAACCTAAAGTCTTAGACCTAGACCTAGAGTCCATTCCTGCCATTTTCTCTTGTCTCTTGCTGGCAGGCATTGCCAAGGTGGGAAATAATTAGCAAATATATAAATAATGGACATAGCTACAAAGAATTTTACCAATTGCATTAGTGTCAGTGGTGAGGGCTTTAGTAGAAAATAATTTCAAGATTACAACAAATTGCAGAATTACTTCTAGTTAACTTCGTTCACTATGGAAACGGACTTCATTAAGCGTGCAGCATTTTGAACAGAAACGCAGTGCATTTTGTACCAGCTGTCAACCAACCATACATTACACTATTACATACTCTCTCAGGTTTTGCAGTGTGGAAGATCCACTTTTTATTTCATCTCTGAACCTGAAAACAATAACAGAATTTTCACAATACCATATATTCACTTGTACTTAAAGATGAACAAAACTTACCTCTTCCCATTCTGATGTGAAGGAAGGCGTTCTCTCTGAATTCCCTTTGGAGCACTGTTGGTTTGGTGTGGGTTCACTCCAATTGCTTCTTGCTTTTTTGTCATTTGGTGGATGGGTGATAAGATTAGAATCAGATTTCGAAACGTTTTTGCACAGATGCATTTCAAGCAAAGTCTTTGGTAAAGATCGTATTCTCCCAAGCGTGCACGCTCGCTCCACAAAACCTCCAGTAGTAATAACCCATTGTTCACTTATCCTTGTTGACGTGCCAACCAATGTATGATTTTCTGCTGGTTTAGTCTTAGTATGAAATATGGTTCTGTTGACAACTGGTGGCTTTTTTTTCTTAACAGGAGGATCAGTGCTGCTTTCTTGCCGTAGCGGTGTCTGCTGCACTGTGCTCTTGCCCAAAATGCTTTTTTCTAATGGACCACTGCATGGGTTTGCTTTGCTGTACAGCTGGAGTGGATTATCAGGTGGGTCACATGAAGGTGATGATCCATGAAGTAAACCTGTAGCAGGGTGTCCTTCAGGAAGCTCAGTTTCAGCGGATGTTTCTCCCTGGCAAAGACGCTCTGAAACAAGAGAGTACCTTGTAGAAACCAGGGTGATAATATATTGCAAACAACCAAACTCCTACTCTCTGCAAAGTGACTTTTGTATGCTGCTTGGTTCTTTCTTATGTACAGGAAGAAAATATACTTATGTCATGAATTGATTTATTAGTCTCTTAAAAAACAATTCTCTCCTTAAGCTTGACTATTTTATACTGACTGGTTGAAAGCCAGCCAAAAACACTTAGGGCTACACATAAATTCCAAAACCAACCCAATTCTCTCCTTAAGCTTGACTATTTTATACTGACTGGTTGAAAGCCAGCCAAAAACACTTAGGGCTACACATAAATTCCAGAAAAAAACCAACCAAACCCAAAAACACACACCAAAAAGAATTTGTAAAATAAAATAAGTCAGTGCTATAACATCAATTCAATGGTGTATCTATAATTTGTACACATTTCAACTCAATAACAAATTAAAACAGTTTAGCATGATGAATAAGCTACTTCATAGGCAGTAAGACACATGAGGAACCAGTATTGTGAGGAGCATTGCTAGCAATTTTTCTTTTTATAGTTGTTATAATAATAGTGAACTTACACTATGATGCCTTTTCACTGACAGTCTCTAATAAATAGATCTGAGCATTGTTGTTATTTCTGGGAACTTCTGAGAATAGATTAAGAATAAGAGTAACCACTGGGGGAAAAAAACCCCAAAAACCCACAAACAGGAAATCAAGTCTCTCTGAAACAAGTTTTATATGCAATTTAGCACACAGACACAAAAAAGAATTACAGAACAAAAATGCACTTTTGGGTGCAGCTCAGAGTGTATTATAAAAAATTTATAGCTCTTGATATCTGTTGTGTTAAGGAAGGGCAAAAAACCCCACCACAAGCCAAAACAACCCTTTTCTACCTGTGCTGCCTCAGAAGTAGTGTTGGTGTGGACAACATCACTCTATCCACATTGCATTAATTTTGCCTAGTTTACTCAGAATAACTGTATCCCCACTAACAGTTGCATCTCTGTAACTACTTCATTAAGGATAAATACATTTTTCCTGCTAGAAGTTGTATGTTCATGTGGATACTGTATCTGTTGGACTGTATGTATAGTACTAGCTACCAGAAAGAATCAAATGTAGCATCATGTGATAATTTGCAAGGAAATTGGTTTCCTCATATTGGCTAAATTATCTGTTTGTAAAAAAACCCTACAAATCTCTGAATAACACTTTCAAAAGGAGGCAGTATATCACTGTATGAATGACAAGAAAGTTTTTGTGTGTACTTCAAAACACTGTAAGCTTTTACTAGTCAACAGCTTAAAAGTGTAAAATCTTGTGGTTTTCTCATTTGTTAAAATACCAGGATAAAATCCTAATCAAGATTAGAAGAACAACTCAAGAAAATCATCTTTGGTAAACAACTTATTAGAAATACACTTAAGACATTTTGCAACTAAAAAATATGTGGGGTGTTACAGTGAAATGTTGAATGTGGGACTTGACAGAGCTTAAGGAATCAATAATGCCAGAAAAGTTGCTGGGGGGGGTGGGGGGGCAGGGAAAAGGCGGGGAGAAAAAGGACAGAGGACATGCTCAGTTTCTTTGATCTCTGAAAGTTGCTGAATTAATTTTATGTCTCCACTTCTCAAGGTGAACTTCAGAAAAGTTCAAAAGTAAATGATGCAACTAAAGTTAAACAAACAGTGTTTTTCCCTGACATGAAAAATACAGTAGCTGGGATTCAGCTCTAGATTAAGACATGTCATTTTACATATCTACATAAGTAAGCAGTATGCAAACGCCCACCATAGTGATCAGGTTGATAAAGTCAGCGGATCCCAGGGAGTGATGCCACTCACCATATGTTGTGGCTGGTCAGCTGAGTCACTCCTGCACTCTGTTAACAGTATTAACTAGACAGCCAATGACTGTAATGGGAGCTGGCACCCATTTTGCATTCAGATACCTCCATTTAGATGTCTTAACCATGAACTGAATTCTATTGTGCTGCTACAGAGATGAGTCTTAACAATTGTCTATTGAACTTAAGATCTATGTGTTTTTGTCAGGACACAGTAAGAAAGAAGAATAAATCAGGAAAAAAAAAGCTTACATACACCTGGATTGCCAAGATTTCACTATCTTTGCTACATCTATACTACTAAAAAACCTTTTATTTGGTAGCTTTTTCTTTAACAGCTTTGTTAATTATATGGCAAAGGAAGCAGAAATCTCATAGATATGCCTTCTTCACACCATGACTTTGAGCAATGCAAACCACACTTGTATTGGGCAATGAAAAAGACAGTGTTCATTAGGAAAAAGTAGTATGTGGTCATGATAAAGGTTAAGAAGCAAACAGCATTGCATGCTGCACCGCAGTCATGCAGCAGCTGATCCAGAGTAGTGACATCTCCATCCTTGGAGGTTTTCAAGACCTGGGTGGGAAAAGTCATGTCTGATTTGATGACAGTCCTGCTTCAAACAGGAAGATGGAGTAGGTGACCTTCAGACATCCCTTCTAACCATACTTTATTAATGACCTAATTGTAATTCTGAATCTTTTGATTTTTTTACTGGTAACTGTTGCCTAATGCTCTTTTAACCCAAATTTGTATTATTTTAGTTTCTTAATGCAGTTAATGCTTAATACTTTTTTAATCAGAGAATAATAAGAGTATGGAGGTGGACCACACCACTGGTCCAAATAGTAGAGGTGCCTATGACTCAATGTATTAATTTCTAAAGAAATCAAAGAATGAAAAAATAATCCATGCAATAGTCATAAAATAATTTGCCAGAGTATGCTTTCCTTTCTTTATTCCAAGTCAGTGTTTGTTGACCTAAGCCCTGAAGCATGAATATTAAATAACCTGTTCAAACTTTACCATATCTAAAAACGCAACTACAAGTCTTCATTGCTTATGCACCCAGAAAGTAAAGTACAAAACTCTAAACAGGATAATATAATGCTGCTTCTGTGTCCCTCTTAAAATAGGCAACTTAACTGAAAAAAACCACCAAACAAATTCATGACAAATAATTACCTATATCCAAGATCGGGGTCCTTTAATTGTTGCATATTTCTGCCATTAATTTTAAGAGTTGATACTGAAATTGATATTTCTTCTGAGGCTTAGTAGTGATGCAAAAACCATGATATTTTACGTATTATTTTCTGTTTTTAAATGTATCAAAATTATTCTTGTTCTTCTGAATTTTGCTGTACATTGAAAAAATCCTTTCATGAAGTTGTCTTTACTGATGATCAACATGCTGTGTTTTTATGATTAAACTTAAATCTACCGATATATCTGAGAAATTTCAACTCTCCATTCCTATTGTGTTCTATCCCCCAACTTTATTGTATGCTTTTGAACCTTTTCATCAGATGCTTTAATTTTGCTTTAACAGACTTAACTGGCAGTTAGAAATGATATATGGTATTCAATTATATTGCATAGGTTAATGATACTAGATTTCATTTCTCACAGTTTCTGGAAGAGTCTTCTGAGAGCGGACTTTAAGAAAGAGCATATGGATACCAGAAAGAGAGAACAGGTGAAGTTCAAGCTTTTGGATTGAATCCCAATGGAGAGAAGTTTTCAGCTTGTCTTTTTTTTTTTTTCCAAGAACATTTATTTTTGTAATCTTCAAAGAAAGCAAACGAGAGATCTTGCTTCCTCACCAGATACTGCTTTTCTTATCACCTTAGCTTTTTAATTGTAAACAGTATCCTAAATACCAAAACATAAACAGATTTCATTACTACAGATCTTTAGCATTATTACAAGTCCACATACAGCTGACCCATCTGAGTGCATTACTTCTGAAATATCACTCTGATACTGCCATAGCTGTGTTGCATGAAGAACATTTGCACTTGGAACTACAAATAATTTCAGTTCTGCCATAATCTTAAAGCCACAGATATATATTGCTATTATTGCTACAAGTTTATACAGAACCAAACTGGTATTTAGGCAAATTGCAATTCAATCAGCTATTTATTTACACACTGGTGCACCACACCACAGTTGGTTGTCATACATATATAGAACTCTGCAGAATACCATTTCTCACTTTAAGTATTTGAGAGTTATAATTTACAGATGCTTCATCAAATTCACATATCTGTTTGAATCGGACTCCAAGACTACAGAGCACATTAAGAAAATCATGAGCATACTAAATGCTGAGAGTTTTACATTCATGTAAATTTGGGAATTGGCTTATTCACATTTGTATCTCTAGAGATTCTATGTTCAAAACTAAAGCACATTCAGGAGAGTAAGAGTTGTTAATAATAGTAATGAAAAAAGCTGTAATAGATAACTTATAATGACAATGTTACATCTTTAACAGGCATTACTGTTGCCATGGCACAAGTTTCTAATGTAAAATAAAAATCCACTAGAAATTTGTTCTATAGCTATGGTAACAACTGTATTGTGGCACCTGCAGTATTAATCTATTCAAGTTCTGTTTTCATTTGATCCAGAAATATGTTTTTAGCAGCACACGTGTAATATCTGCCAAAAAAAATGCATTCTAAACTCCCTTTTCCACACGTTCAGCTGATTGATAAAAACTAACATTCACAACTGACTAATATTTGGAGAGTACATTCTCATGGATGGATGGTAAGCAAAGAAGTCATTTGCATGTTAAAAGATTGCTTTGGACACACTACAATACCTTCAGTAGTGATAATACTAACTGTATTGCCAAAGTGATATAAAATGGGAGGATCAGCAAGAAAAGGTGAAAGACTGAAAATTTATAATATTTAAAAATTGAAGTCATAATATTCAGGAAGGCATTATTTCATACAGCAAACAACATGGGTCTCTGACCAAGCTCCAGCTCTCTGACGACAGTATGTTGGCTGCAGACATGTTTGATGAGGCACTGCAATGTTTACTCACTCTAGTAAATGTTATAGCAAGGTACTATAGACCTGTGTGGGAGATATAACAACATGATTACTAAGCAACTAATGAAGAATGTGGGCTTCTACTGTCACCAGGAGCAACACAGAAAAGGAGCAACAGTGTCCAGCCAGATTGCTGTTTCTCCTTCTGCTTCCTCCTGAATCTGAGGAAACTACCAGAGGGTGGTTTGCAAGGCTGGTGTCAGCGGTCTCCAAGCGCTGTGCCCAGGTTCCAATACTACAGCTTCTCAAAGGCGTACAGTCCCTTATCACAGTAAAAGCCCCTGTGGATTATGTGTTTGCACTTACCAACTTCATAACTGCCAATTCAACCCCTTACATTGCAGTCTGCACTTGACTGTGTACTGCCTCATTATCATGGAATAGTTTGGGTTGGAAGGGACCTTACAGACCACTCAGTTCCAACCCCCCTGCCATGGGCAGGGACACCTTCCACTAGACCAGGTTGCTCAAAGCCTCATCCAGCCTGGTCTTATTGCTACTTTCTTGGTAGCTTCACTGTCACATTTAACTCGTCTATTTCACAGTAACCCATCAGGAACTGCAAAAGATGAGAAAGGTTTCAGAGGAAAGATAATTCTGTATAGAGTTCTCTGAACATCGTTTGCCAGCCTTGAATGAAGGGAAAAAAAAGAGCTTTCACTAAGGAAGGATCTTAGTTGGCAGTTACTGCTAGTCCTAAGCACAGTATAATATCCAGATATAATTCTTGCTCAAAATTTCAGCAATAGGAGTTTAATCTGGTGCAAATAAAGTCAATTTTAATTCATAGGCATGTATTGACCATCCTGTGAATTTTCAGAAATTTGTTTAGATACTCACAGAGTATATTCTGTATCTGAGACATAAAGGTAGGTTTTCTTTTTTTATATACATAGATCACATAAGGGGTTAATCTTTATCTGCAAAATTCAACCTAGAAAAAGAAATATAGAGCTGCAGCTGCCACCTCCATAATGCCGTTTCCATGAGAATTTCTTTTTATGTGACTATATAAGGCATGGTTTCTAGACGTCTTAATGACAGACAGCCTCTTACGAGCTATCACATTTTACAGCACAAGAATCTGCCTTACACCAGCTCATCAACATAACAAACCTTCAGAAAACTAACACGTCTATGGACTAAAAATTTCAGGTAGATAAAATAATGTTCAACTTCCTCCAGGTGAAAAGCTGGACTGATTCAACATCCATGTTCAAGCTAAAATTCTACTAGAATACCTCAACTTTACCATACAGCAAAAGAAAAAAAGAAAAACCACACAGTTTTTCTCTGTAACACTCAAGCAATCTTTCATAAGGAATTCTGAGAAATGAATGGAAATTGATGCAAAATGTAATTTTGCAGAAAGATCACATATAATTGCATTAAGAAATTCTGTGGTAATCTCTTCTTGCAGGAGAAAGCTAGCAGTTGAGTGGGCTGTGGCTGAGCTCAGAAAGTACATGTTAATTTTACAATGTAGTACAGCAGGGAAGAGTAATAGAAGAGGAAAATTTGGTGACACTTAACCAAAATCAGTGCAAAGCAACATAAATGTGATAGATGGGCTCTTGAAATCATATCCTTTTGGTGAAGACTCTAATGAAACCTTGTTAATTGTTCCAACTGTGATATTTCACACATCAAATGCAAAGAAGGAATGATAACTGGGAACAAAACTTACTAATTGTCAAGGCAAGAGACACTGGAAAAACAGTGGATGATTTTTAGAATGCTGCTTCTAAAAGGAGATGCTGCTCAACAGGTTCAACACTTTTATTGGAAGGAAGCTTTTGTTTCCCCAAGCATGAGACAAAAGCAGAAAGAATTCAAAATACATGTTCTGGAATTTGCACTGATCATATACTTCTGTCTTTCCTAACCTTGATAAAGAATGTATTTCTGATCTGATCAGTATTTTTAAGATATTTAACATAATACACAACGTAGTTTGCCTCTCCTCATTCCACATAAAAGCTCATTCCCTCCCCCCCCACAACCCTACTGGACTAATTTAGTTTTTGCAAAATTTCCTGTTAGGTAGTAGAAACAAAGCTGTAAGGACAGAAAGTGTATAAATTTTTAAAGCATCTAGAAAATATGTCTGGCTGTAGAATTCCATGGCAGTACTAGATGTAAACATTCGTGGTCATGGAAGATTATATCCAGAACTGCAGTTTTTCAATAATTCATTACATATAATTGTTTCAAAACTCATTACGAGAAATTATGGTCTTTTAGCAAGTTTGCAACTCACTACATCTGTTTTTGTTATAAATACTGGATGGGGAAAGTGGAGGAATAAAAATTAGATTCTCTGTATTAATTTTCCCCATATGATTTATTTAGGGGTTGTAAATGTGAAAGGATAGCCATATAAATTCTTTTGGAAATATTTACAAAATGTAAATGATCTTTAAAGGAAAAACCATCTAAACGATTATATGCAAAACAACTTAGCTAACAATATTAATTTTCTAGGCAGACTGACAATCTCTAAAACATGTTTGCTTTTCACAAATAACTGGTTACTTTAAAAAGTAACATCACATGCAGGGTACTTAAAAGCAGATTCTGTGGAAAAAAAGGGAAGACATTTAGGTGCCTAAACAGAAACATATATGGCCATTTTAGACACAGTGGGGTAGCCAAGGTAACTGCCGACAGACATGACACACAACTTACTGGAATCCTGGGGCATTCTGGGAAAGTAGCTAGAGGCCAGAAAGGGTATCTGAAGTGTCCAAATTGGTCTAGCTATCTCAGTTTAGGCACTTAAATTGTTTCTTAGAGGTCAAACGGTATACTAAGAGTACTCATCGTAGTACCCAGGTAGGCAATACATTTCAAAGAATCCATTACTGTAACATAAATAATTTTTTTGAAGCAATTCTGTGCACATACAGCACTTCAGATGACTCAGATTGACTTACCTTAGAGAGGAACTGAAAAATTGTCAGCACTTTAAGTAATAATTGCTGGGTACTTGTACCAAACTAGCCAGCAAGTTAACATGCCAGATCACCTGAGTGGCACAGGGCTTGAAAGGCTGGCTGACCCCAGGTATCAGCTCAAGACATTTTGGAAACGTATGTGCATTTGGAACATAGAATTAACCTGCTGTGAACGGACTATGACTGCCTAGAGAGTCAATGTGTAGCTTTATTAAGCTACTAGGATGCAGAAAACCACTACCTGAATTTCAGATTTAGTTATATGGAAAACAAGTATCAGACTACAATAGTTCAGACACAGAAGAGCAGTGGATGAACTTAGAAGATAGTTATCAACTTTCAGGCTCCATCACAACTGACACTTTACTAAGCTCTCTTACTAACATGGAGCAAAAAGCACCTAAGGAGCTAAAAGGGCCAACTGAAAAACAGGGAAGAGGAATGATCAATCTGCAGCTGCCTGAAACAAAAGTTGCAAACCAGCCTCTTTCAGGCTAACTGCAGGAGCATCTTCCTTAACTGGATTTTACCAAAACTTACAGAAACTTTCTCCTTGTCTTAAAAAAACAGATATAGGTAAGAAAAGCTTATTCCAATACTTTTCTCTGACTGCTTTGTATACTTAGGTGAATAAGAAGTACATGATTATGAAAAACTGCATGAATCATCAACTAGTTGCTGGTCACAAGCTCCCACAGACATATTTCCAAATATAGGTCAGTTCTTTTGCTTAGAAACAGGGAGTTTACCATCCCTGCTTCTGAACTAGAGAGTTTGATACAGAGAGGCAGTTTAATCCAACTAAAACTCTACTTAGATAACTGCCAGAGAATTCATGTAAGAGCAAATGTAGAAATCCTGGATGATTTATCTTCTGTTAGGAAAGTCAGAGGAGGGAGTTGCAGTTTGTGAATAGCTGTAGCAACAGAAAACATTACCACCTACCTCACTGCTCTTCAGCCAGAAGCCATTATTCTGCAGCCCACCTGGCAGAGCTCTTTGTAAGGATGGCTTCTGATCTGCTTAAGGCAAATCAGCTGTGCCAATCTGGGTAGAGCAGTCGAGTTCATCTGGTTTATTTTGCTTGGGTTGGATTAGAAAGCACTCACAGAAACCCTTCAGCTGAAGTCAGAGCTGAGGGTAGCCACCTATGAAAGATGTGCAGTGACAAGAAGGTGCAGGTAACATCTTCAGTCACTTCCACAGAATTCTGCCATTCATGAAAGAATGAAACTTCTCTGCAATGTAATGGTCAGCTTTCCTCTCTGAAACACATCATGTGGATACTCCTGTAAGGGCACCGAAGAGTTCTGCTTTTCAAACATGTTACACCTACTGAAAATACCATTTTCTTAGGTGGAATAATGTGCATGATGAAATAAATATCAGCATGGTTTAATGAAGATGACTGATCTATCATGCTAAAAGGGTTAAAGATAGTACAGCTTCCAAAGACCTTTCAGACTGATAGAAAGGCATGAAAAAATAATTTAGGAGTCTAGGAAATGTAAACAGGAAAACAGTGAGTCTAAGTGATCAGAAACTACACTAATATTGGTGGGAATTGTCCCATAATAGGCCCATAATTGCTAGCCCAGACTCTGCTCAGGTAACAGCCTGATCAGAATATCAAGAACAATAGGCTGTAGAAAACTCTTCTCCACTAGAGAGCTCTATCCAGTTACTGGCACATCTTTAATACGGACACAAAACTTCCTTACTATGTAATTAGATACTTTGAATTTAGAAAGCAACTTACTTTTAGAGATAACTACTTCTGATCTACAGTGTTAGAAGAAATAAATAATTCAATATGGGTTATAACAAATTAATCAGGTCCTTAAACCAAAATATCTGAAGCAAGACAGACCTAGAATGTTGTTACTGCTTCATTCTGCACTATTTTATTTATGTTTCACTCAGTATGAGGAAGACTGATGAACAGACATCAATAATTATGTTTACCTGTAAACTAAGGACTCAGATCAGCCAGATCTGATCATCCTATCTTATGTGTATTTCTGCTGTTTAAGCAAGTGTGCTTACATTTTACCTAAGGAAGAGGCAAGGAGAGAACAGCTCACCATGATCCTGTTTTGTAGATACATAGATGGGCAGAATCTGCATCAACAGGGAAGTCCCATGCAAATACCAGGGGAGCTGATATATGAACATATACCTCTTGCTGACGGAGTTGTGAATTCTGTGTTGATTTACCAATCTCATAGCTAGGGATTCCAATTTTCAGTTGGAAACATCAGGTGAAGCTGAGGAAGATTTCACTTCTTGCCATAACAGATTCTCAAGAGATAGAACTCTGAGAAAGGGCAGGGAATTGCAAAAATTACATGGAATAATCCATATTTATTAACTTTAATATGCAATAGTTTAAAATGATAGCATTTTTAAAGAAGGACTGTATATCTAAGAGGGCAGTGATAGAGGAGAGGCAAAAAAATAGTACAGATTTCCTAAAAGCTTTGTACGGTCATGACTGCTATTCGGATGGGCTACTATAAAGTGGATGCTTGTATAAATACAGAGAAATAATTAGGGGATTGCCATCATCTGAGCTTTTTATTCTTCTTTAGAAGAATACCTTCAAAATCTTTGCAGAATGAACCAACAGTCAGAAGACTTACATTTGAAACAATTTTGTAAGCTCACCTGCCTCCTTCAATGATGGGAAGTGAGAATGTAAATGACAGAGATGGCGTTTTTTTTTTTTCATTGGATAGGTCATAATCATATTTTCTGGTATACTTGTTCTCAGTCAGTACAGAAAAATGGTCTGAGCTCTTGGACTCAACTTCCTTGCACTCACTCCCTCTCCACTCTCTCCTTTTTTCCCCCTCTTACCCCCAAAAGAAAAGAGAAATTATTAAAACTAATTGTCAAA